CGGAATGGGTACAATTTAAACCTGTTAACGAGGACCTATGAGAGGGCAAGCCTGGTGCCAGCGCCGCGGTAACTCCAGCTCTCAAAGTGTATGTCGTTATTGCTGCGGTTAAAAAGTTCGTAGTTGGAATCCAGCTTGACGACATGGTCCATTTATTGGATGTGAACTATGATCGTAGGAAAAAGTTTAAAATAAAATTGTAATTCAATTCTATTGGGTTGCAACAATATGCTTATAAAGTTCCAGTGAATTAACATTAATATAACATTGGAAAAAAGTTTGGAATAAAATTATATAATATTTATATTATAAAAAATGTTGGCAATTTGCTGCGTATATTCCTTAATAAAAATTCTTAGTCAATTGAGTATATTTCTTAATAAAAATCCAACTACTTTCAAATTTATCATTGTTAATTTCTTTAGACTATTCATTTTACAAATAAAATTTTGCACCACAAATTTTGCACCGTTATTTCATATAAAAATAAACACACTGAATGATAAAATCGCGACTGTTTAAATATTAAATTTTCTTATTTTGCCTTATTTACCTTATTTACCATAGGCATATAAAATAATTATTAAGTAAAATTTTAGCCCAATTCGCTAACTTATAGAAAAGAATTAAGAAGGCGAGTGCCTTTTGTAGATTACATGCACAGATATTGTGAAATGTTCAACGAATAAGGGTTTCAAGATTGCATGCCATGTTTGATATTTGTTTGATATTTGCTCTTATCTTGCCGCTTGAGTTCTTGGTAAGAATGGAAAAAATAAAATCCCGGCATTTCCCTTTTCTTTCATTATTTTTGGATTTGAACGAAAATTCTGATAAGGATTAGGATGCGACTAATTATTAATATAAACATTATTGAAGACAACATTATTTTAAAGTTTCTTCAAGGAATTTTAGATTATAATGAAAAACAATTTGAAGTGAACTTTAATTCACATTATCATTGATATAACTGTGCAGATTACGTGCAATAACAGCACGTTCTTGCACACTGTTGCATCATTGTTGCTCGAAACACATCGTCACAGCTGTGTGCAGCTTTAATTGCGGCACAGTTCAGTCTTTCGTCTCGACAAGTTGCTGCTGGAGGAGACAAAGTTGTTGCTGAAATTTATGAAATCAAAATTTCCACTCTGGACAAAATTTCCAATTTTGCAAGTCTCTTTTTTTTGAGTATTTTTTAAAAAATTTATGAGAAAATACTTGTTAAGCAGTCACGCGACCCTCAAGTTCTTTGGCACGTATTTTTCAATCTGTTGTCATAACAAATGCCCAATCGCACCAAAACATCGCAACCGTCGATGGTATCGGGACACATATTTGCAGCACCAGATAAATGACAAAGGCCACAAGTTTGCGGGCAAAGTTGTAATGCAATGCTTGGAAATTGACTACACATTGTTCTTGAAAAATTTTTGCATGGACCTTCTCGACCTCCAACTGAAATTGAGAATAATGGCTAATGATTTGCTATAAATCATTCCTACTTTCT